TGTAGGGGCACTGGGCAGTTGTCACTAGCAGAGGTTACTGACCTGCTTGCTGGTCACTCCAAGGGAACTCGGCTACAGCCACGTAGAAAGATGAAATGACAAGTTGGTGTATTTAATATTAAAACCAATGCTTTTGTTGTACACAAAATACAGAATGAAGAAAATGTAGAGCTCCCTCAGACCTACAGTTCTTCCCTTTCAACATCTGAGTTTCCTGTGCCTGTGGACTCTTCCCTTTTGTATGCACCGTGGTCTACCTGTGGAGATGACACTAAGCAGCCTGCTGCTTCTCAGATGAATGTGAAGTCCAGGTAGTCATTTTTGACTGAGAGAGAATGCATGTCATGAAGGACGTTTGTTTTGTGTGTTTATTTTAACCTATTAATTTTTTTGAATTAACTGAATGTTTTCATTAATTTGCAATTTGTTTTGAGGATTCAACCCGAAAGGAATGATTATGGCAGTGAAACAGATTTATATGGACTTGTGTCCAACATCTTGGAAGAACAAGACAAATCACAGCCATGTTGTGCTGAGGGGTGAGTGTGTTGCTGTGCAAGTGCTGCTGCCATCCTCTTCCCCTGACAAAAACTGCCCTCCCTGCTCTCCACATCTGGGTTCTGTTAGTCAGCTTGGCATCTGCTGCTGGCAAGTCCTCCTGCTCTTTATGGTTTCCCTTCATTCTCCCTTATCTTCTAATATGTCTAATGTCTTCTAATATTTATGTCTTCTAATATTTCTAATACTTGAAAGTTTTCTCTAGGTACTCAAATTATGTGGTCGTTTCTGGCTTTTGAGTATTTACAGAACTTTTTAATTGGCGTTTTTTTAAAATAAGTCCCTAACAAGCATTGTGGAAATGCTGTATTCAAGTACATCTCCTTGAATCTATGCCTTGGCCTGTTTATGTTTTAGATAAAGATTGAATTCAGTTGTTAGGTTTCTCAATTAATTTCAATTCACAGGAAGAAAACACAGAACAGGGAATCATACTCTTACACACTTTCCTGACCTGGCAGGAGGGGAGAACTCTGTGCAAAATGAGTATGTCCTGTTGTTAGTGCTACCAAGGCAAATCTAAATGTCAGATTTATTATGCCTGATTCTAGCACCAGAAGAAGCCATTAGAAAGTCATAACTTGACATATAGAGGTTCTTGTCCAGGGTTCCTGGCACACTTGGAAAGTTCTGTCTTCTGCCTGAACCCGAGTGTTCTAGGTCTAAGGGACAAGAAGGGGAACAGAGTTCTCAAGGTTCCCAAGCCAGGCACTGCTCTTCCTTTCTGTCTCAGAATCATAGGGTCCTACAATGGTTTGGGTTGGAAGGGACCTTAAAGACTATCTAGTTCAACCCCCCTTTCTCCCCAAATTCCAATGATTCCTGGGTGTGTACTGAGTGATGAGGCTGAAGTGAGGGAAAATTTGAGGGAGAATCAGTCTTGATCAAGGGGTAACTCTCAAATTCCTTTGCTTCAGACGTTTAAGGTTGAATTTCTCTCTTCAGTACTGCTGCATTTGGCTGTGACTGTAATGACTTCCAGGCACCATTTTTCACTTTTCAGCTTTCCTTGACACTCAGTGATTGATTGCCCTATGTTAATTTGTGGTAATTAGTGGAAGGAAAAGAAATGTGCTGAGATGCTTATTCTTGATTTACCTGCAGGAAGCAGTGTAGGCCCGTGTAAAACACAGGAGATTCTGAAGCAATAAACAAGATGATACAGAGAAGTGTTTTGTCTGGAGTGCTAGGACATGGCTTTGAAAGCCTATGGGTATTTTGTGAAGTATGGTTATTTTAACTTGCTGCTTGACCAGCAGTATTTCAGAGGTGATGGACAGTAAATCTCTTGGCTTGATTGATGGATGATCATTTGGTATGTGCCCATCACCTGCAGCTTGAGGGCATCGTAGGAGCTCCTGAGGTACGTGGGTGGGCTCAGACCTGACAGAATTCGTTTTCTCATCTATTTAAAGGAAAACTGCAAAGGTGGCAGTAGTGGGTAAGAGCTGGTTGGGAGGGAGGTATCATTGAGTCAGTCTACAGAACTGGGTGGGGGAAGAATTGCATGTTTCAAACCTGTTCCTGGGTTTGGGGATGGAAGAGCAGCACCACAAATGGGAATCTAAGGTGTGTTTCTTGTGTTTCAAGGAGCTGCCCTTCCAACTTGAAGTCAGTGTGGCCCATGAACGCAACCAGAATCCTAGACCACCATGACCTGTTGCCAGAAACGAAAAGACCAGTGGTTGGAGCTGTCTCACAGCAGGGTTTCTATGGCAGCGAGTCGGTCGCTGGAGCGGAGCAGCAGCACCTGCCGGGCGCTGAGCCCCCGCAGCAGCGGGGGGAGGAGCGTTACCGCGGGCTGGCTGCCGCGGGGCTGGAGGAGCAGGGCGCCTACCCCGCCAGGAGTGATCATGCCAACTGTTGCAACGTGCAGAATAATGAGAATATGAAGACAACACCCATCTATCAGAACTATCCGTTCATAAAATCTACCTTCTCAGCCCCAGCTGGGTATACAGAAGTCATGAAAGACCCGGCAGCCGATGCCTGCCCTTACGGGAGAGAGAAGGTGTGTCCCAAGGGAGCCGACCCGCAGCCGCACCAGAAGCGGGCAGAAACCTTTCTTTCACAGTTTCACAGATACAATGAGAACACAGATTATAGTAGATACACCGAATATTCTCATGCTGGTAAAGCCAAACCTAACAAGAGCACCAATTGTAGCCTCCAAGAAAATAAAAAGCTAGTAAATGGAAGCATTGAGGCAGCATCTCTGGACACAGAGCCCTACACTAAATTATTTCAAATTAAATCAGGAACACAGAAAAAAATAGAAGATACAGTATCAGATCAGCAGAACTTCACATTTCCCAAGGCTGTAGGATTTTTATCAGAAAAACAATTTGCAAATGAAGCTTCATTCTGCACTGATTTTGGGCAAAAATTTGACTATGGACTAAAATCTTTTGCAACTTGTTCAGGGAACAGTGATTGTGCAAATGGTGTAGAAAAGCAGCAGTTTTCAAAGTCTGATCTTCAGAATTCTGAATACTGTAAATCGCTTCCTGTGTTACCAAACTCAGCAAACCCATCAGCAGGTGCCTTTGTCAGGCCAGCCTGGATGAACATGCAAACTAAAACCACTGCTTCTGCCCCATTTCAGAGTCCAAGTCCTTTGGTGAAACTGAATAATCATCTTCCTGCTTTTCAAAAAAGCTCCAGTCATCCTAATGACTTTTTTCAGTTGTCATCTTCAAATTTCCCTTTAAGCAGTAATTTATTTCACAAGTACTGTCAAGATAATCCTTCATTCTTTTCAAGTCTTGATTTTGGTTACAACCCTGCAGAACGAGCTCGATCTGCTGCTTGCCTAGAAGCACTAGTGAGGGGGGGAGAAGAGAATCTTCTCGAGTATTTAAGTGAAAAGAAACTGAAGCAGCCAAATGGGTTCTGTGACAATTATTTAGCTCAGCAGGTTGAGATCCTTGAAAACATGAACAAACAGCGGTTCCAGTCAAAGCCACAGAGTGAGCGTTACGACCTGGAAGGACACAAACACGTGGATGGGTTGTTGCAGAACATGTACCAAGATCTAGTGGAGTCTCAGGGACAGTTCAGTCTCAGGCAGGCGAGCGGAGACACCAACACCAGCAATCCTGGGACTTGCCTGCCAGCTCCTGGCTTGTCCAACAGCTGCCTGATGGGTGACTTCAGGCTGAACCAGCAGCTGGGGTCAAGCACATTCCCCTGGAGATCAGCTCGTCTCTTAGGCCGTTCGGTTCTCCCTCTGATGGAGTCTCATGACATGTTCTCCCACGATGATTTAAAATGCTTCTACCCTTATTTGAATGATAAGATGTATGGTGACAGTTCTTTTCCTGGTTTTGTACCAGCATTTGGATTTCAAAGGCAAGTGAAAAACCGTAGTGGGCCTTCCAGCGAGCTTCATGTTAGACTAGAAGAATGTTATGAGCAGTGGAGAGCTTTGGAGAAAGAAAGAAAGAAGGTAAAAAATTTAACATCAATTATTATGCCTTATCACAAATTTTATGTAGAGCTCATCCAGCTCTGACCAGTTTGAGGTCGTGGGTAATTCTCACTGTTACGAGCTGAAACGTTTAATGGGACTTCAAAGTTAAAAAGAGTTTGCTTCCCTGTATATTTGGGACTGAAAACAGGAGGTTTTGAAGGTTTGTAGGCTGGTTGAGAGCACTGATCCTGTTGTGTTGAAGGTTACATTTCAAGCAGGAATTCAGTGACTTCTCCAGTCCCTGCGGTGGGGCCGGGGAAGGTGCTGCATGACTTACAAAGACACATTACAGTTGTTTTTTTTAAAACACAACAAACACAACCCACCTGGAAACTTTGACAGCAAATCCATTAATTATATGTTGAATTGGGACTAAACTTAATCCTTCCAAGAATTAATTAAAATTCTTAGGCCCTATGCTTTCTGTTCTCTCAAGGAGTTCTCACCTTTTTTAAGATGTATCTGACGGGGCTCTTTTTTCCTCCAGAAAGGGAGGCTGAAGAAAAGGGTAAGATTAAAACCCTTGAACTATAAAGGGTGGTTCTGTATGGAGTCCTACTTAAAGCAGTTGCCCTTTTTGGTCATCACGGAGGTTGTCCTTTTGAATGTGAAAGCTGCTTTAATGTAACCGATTTAGCTGGTGTTGATATTCAAAAACGTTCTGGAGCTTCGACTTCCTGAAGGGGAAGCTTGACCAAAAGGTACCTGGGGTGGAAATTAGGCTGCAGCTTTAAGTGGGCCACCACAAGACAGTCTAAGAAAGGCTGTTTTGAAGCAGATTTTGTGAGCTGTGGATTGTTACAAGTGTTCCAGAGTGACACAACGGGATGAGAAGGACTGAACTTTGAAATCTTGCAGGTTTCAAAGTAATTTTTGATGGTTAATTAAAATAGGGGTTCGGTTTAACAAACAGCTGTCTGTGGTTTGACTAATTTGGACAAAATGAAGGTTGATTGCTGACTCAATTTTATTTTAATTTTGTGGATGAGGTCCACACCTGTTTGCTCCTTCTTTTTTGCCTTTTACCTTGTAATTCTGACTTGTATCCATTTTATTTACAGGCAGAATTAGTGCAGGCTGTAGTCAGAGTGTGAGAAAATCTAGCACTTTGAAACACATTATGTTAGTATAATCACTGTAGTTGAACTGCTTTCAGTAAAGTGGTTTTTCACTTAAAACAGGTGATTGTCTTACCAAATTATTAAATCCTGTGTGCCTGAGTCCTCATTATCTGCTTTTAAAAAAACCCAAAATGCTAAGGGGGAAAAAAGTCTTCTTCTTGTTTCTGTAATAAAGCACATTTTGCAGCTTACATTCTTAGGGAGTTATTCTTTTTTTTTTTCTGCAGACTGAATCAGCTCTTGCTAAGAATTTCCAAGGGAAAAAGGTTTCCAGTGCTAACAACACTCCCATTCCAAGGCTGACATCAAACCCATCAAGAGTTGATCGTTTAATTGTGGATCAGCTGCGAGAACAAGCCAGAGTGAGTTGTAGGATTAAAAAAAAACAACCAAAAACTATTGAACTTAACACACAGAACTTAGAGTACAAAGTAAAATATGTAAAATTATCAGAGCAGCTTTTCCCAAAATAGCTTTGTTCTTAAGTGCTGTGCAGGGAATAACATTTCAGTGTATTGTTATTATTGTGTTATTATTATTATCAATAACATTTCAGTGTTAGTGCTCTGTGCAGCTGCAGGCTCCGGTGCTGCTGTCCTCAGGGATTGCTGCCTGGCTGAGGCTCTGCCTTGCCTGGGAGGTTCCTAGGGCGGGAATGAGCGTGAGGTGCCACACTCCAGTCACCTGCATGGCTGCTTGCACAGCTGAGATGTGCCCAACGTTTCTGCTTGTCTGGTTTGAGCAGCTCAGCAAAGAAAGGGCCACTATAGATTCGCAGACATTGTATTTGAAAAGTTGCGGGGTGGGTTGGGAAGCAACTTTAATGTTAGTGAGACGTTGATATGTATTTGCTTGAGAGCCTCATGATTTAATTTTTTTTAATGCAAAATGGATATTTTATGCAACTCCAGGCAGAATTTCTACATTATTAGTTTGCTGTTTAAGCCAAACAGCCACCACCTGTAGCGCAAGCGTGGCTGGTGTCACTTGAGCTGCCCGTGGCTCTGTGGCCAGAGGATGGTGCCGGTGAGCGCGGTGCTGCCTCTCTGTGCAGCAGTTCTGCACGGGAGGCCTGGGGACAGCACCAGCAGAGCTGAGAGGGACTGAGCTGGCTCTGCTCGCACCCGGGAGGAGAAATGTGAGCTGCAAAGGGCAGAGCCAAAGCCCGGCCCTGCCAGGGCTGTGGGATTAAGGGCAGTAGCTGCTGCCTGAGGAATGCTGGGTCCTGCAGGAGCCGGTGCTGCTGGGCTCGCCGGGACAGCAGCTGTTCCTCCAGCCTCTCACAGGTAGAACAAGCTGTGGAGCAGCCATGCCTGCTTACTGCCTCCTGAAATGGCTTGTGCAACTTCCTGCTTTTGTCCTTGGAGCTGAGTAGAGAGTTCAGTGAATGGTGTGCTGGTAGGCTTTGTGTACACTTCTTAAACTCCTGTGGTATCAACCCCAAAAGAGCAGTGTTGGGGAGTTTCTGCTTTGAGAAGGCCTGCCTGTCCCTGGCCTAATACTGTAAAACCATGCCTAAATAAGGGCTTAATCTTCTCTGGCCATTTCAGGAACCAAGCTTCAGGGTAGGGAACCTCCAACCCTTGTTAGGTAGCAACTGAAAAGTAGCTTTAAGGATGCTCAGAAGCACAATGAGACTGTTAGACCTGGATTCTAAAAAAACTTAGTGATGGCCAAAGAGAAACACTGGTACAGTGGAAGTTGAGCTGCCAAAATCTGGGATTAACTTTCAGAGTGTGTTAAATCCTCTTGGTAGTCATGCACTTCACTTTGGTTTTCTCATTTGAGACTTCCACTTGCAGTTGCTTTCAGTTCCAGAAGAAAGCATAGCAGGTGGAGAGTTGACAGCAACTTTCTTCACTACATCATCAGTAACTATTAAAACCTCTTAATAGTCAGAGAACAAACTTTAAACCAGGATCTCCTCTCTATAGAGTGTGTCTCATCTTACTTGTGTAAATCCGCAGCGCCACTGGAACTGGAGAAGGCCCACTGTGGGCTACTCTTGAGGCTGGACCTTCAGCTTGTCCACTTGAGGCTCTTCTGTTCTGACTAGCTGGGGGCAAATTGGCTGCTCCTTGTGGCAGTGGTTTTCACCCAGATAATTGTGGCTGTGCTGAGGGAAGGGGGGACCACAGTGGTCTTGATTCAGAGGAATGCTCTTGGTTATGGAACCACCTCCTGTTACATGGTTGTCTCCAAGTTGTATATACCCGTTATTAACTAGGAAGCTGGGTGTTCTCATTTTTGGATATTGTAACTTTGCTGCTGTGTACACCCAGGTATGCTACAGCTTTGGTTTGAAGAAGAAATCCTAGGTAAGAATTTAAAACTACTTCAACTATATAATGTTATGAACTCTTCTTAAAAAAAAAGAATGGTTATTGTGAATCTGTTCTTCCCAACCTAGTTAATTGTCTTGTAAGTCTGGATGAGTACAGTGTGAACTCCTGTAACATGTCACATGTTCATTAGGTTGTGACTTTGCTGGGAAAAATGGAGCGTCTCCGCAGTTCTCCCCTTCATGCCAACATTTCTACTGCTCTTGATAAACACCTGGAGGTCATTCATGTAGTGCACTCACGTAGAAAAGATGAAATTGTAAATGCTTCCAATCGACAGAGGCAAGGAGCTCCCAGATGCCCGGATGACAGAGGTATATCCATGCTTATGTACTTTTATAAGGTAGCTGAAAAATTCTGCACAGATTGCAAGTCTCTGGAAAAAAATAAATGTAAGAGGTTTTGTGTCAAAGTTTTTATTTCTTTTGCAGTGTCTAGAGCTTTGAGAAAGGCAGACTGTGGAGTTTAGGTGACAGTTTTGAGAGGACACTAAAACTGGGTTTTAGAGATAAGTGGGTTAACTCAATTTAGGGTGTGTTTAATTAATAATCTAGCAAGTAATGGGAAGGCAGTGGGGGTTTTTGTAAGGCAGTCTGGGGTGAGGGATGACATTAAACTATTACCTCTTTCTTCTCCCTGTCCCTCTTGTTCCTGCTCCCCTCAACCCTCTAGCCCTGTCTGTAATCCTACGTAGAACTTCCTCGGTACCTCACAGAGACCAAGATGGCCTTGTGTTATGAGTGGATTTCCTCGTCAAGCATGTTCTGTCACAGATTAACATAAACCACAAATCATACTTGATCAGAATTGGTTTATTCTTCATGGTATCCAAAATACGTGGAATATTCAGCTTTGTCTTTCACTAGTGCACAGGCAAAACAGCAAATTTCCTGCTGTCTTGGATGTGAGGCAGAATAAACTCCTGCTACCTGGGATGCTCTGACTTTGTGTTGGAAGCTCTGTTACATTTCTGAGTTTTCTGCTTACTTCCTGCCTCTCTTTCCTGAATTAGATGGATTCTTCTACTTCTTTGGGGTGTCCCCTCATGCAGTTCTGTAATTCTCAAGTTTACTTCAAATGATACACTATAGCAATGTTTCTTTTCACCTGTTCACCCTCATATTTCTCTTCACCTTGATTGAAGCGGATGTGACTTGTTAAGATGAAAAGGAATGTTTTTGGGTGTTAAAGCCCATGAACGTAATTGGCGCAGCAGTTACTTGGTGCTGCTTCTTAGCCACATCTGGGAGCTCTGTGGAACCCAGTAGTCTGGGAAAGAGAAGCTGTTGGACCTGGAGATCTGCTCCCTGCTCTTGCTGTGAAGTGAAGAGCTTTGCACAATGGGATCTGATTGCTCAGCTAGAAGGGCTGCACCTCCCTCGTCTACCTAATCCTCCACACTGGCTGTCTCTTGTGTCAACTCTCGTGGCAACTGGGGAGGATGTTTCAACAGTGAATGGCTGGACACAGTAACTGCATTTGCTGCATGTCTGGGGAGGCCTTCGCAGAATTTCACAGAATCATCCTGGTTGGAAAAGACCTTGAAGATAGTCCAACTATAACCTAAATCCACCAACCACAACCCATTCAGTGCTTAACTCATGTCCTAAGCACCACATTTCTTTTCAACGCTTCCAGGGATGGTGACTCCACCACCTCCCTGGGCAGCTTGTTCCAGTGTCCAGCCACTCTTTGGATAAAGAAATTCTTTCTAATATCCAGTCTAAACCTCCCCTGGTGCAACTTCAGGCCATTGCGGAAGGTGCCCGCAGCTGTGCCTCTCCTGAGCAGAGCTTGGCAGAGCTTTCTTGCTCAGTTTTGTTTTGTTGAGAAAAGCTCTTCCTTTCCCCAGCCTTGTTTCCCCAGCACATTTCTATTCCATCTCATCTGATAGCAAATATCTATCTTAGCAGGCAGGACCTGTCTGTTGTGTCCTGTGTTCCAGGAAGCTTGATTTCAATAGAATCTATACATGAGCTGTGGTGTTCTCTTCTCCCGGCTCCCTGGCTTTAGTTGCAATACAGATTTACTTCAGGGAGAAGCACATGGATCTCAGCTGCCTTGTGTTAGTTTATTCATGCACCATGTGGATCTGAAAAATTCTACTGTTGCACACTGAAGTTGTGGTACAACTGTACAAGGTTTCTGGCAGCTGTTTATAAATGTTTTGTTTCTGGAGGAAATCTCAATTATCAGAAAAAGGGTTTTATGGATTGTCATCTGTCACCCACAACAACCATCAGACCTTTCAGAGCTCTCTGACCACACCTGTGCTTTAAGGTGTTCCTGGATTTAGTTCCCAAGATCTTTCAGAAGGGTGTAGTTGTTATAGATCATCTTCTGAGGGGAGAAAAGACCTCTTTAATGTCTGTAACTCTCAGGTACTTCATTCAACCAAAGCCTTTAAAACAACTCTTCACTGTGGGATTTTCTGTTCTTTCCTGGTAGTGATCTAACTGCCAGCCATACCTTACAGCTTTGAGATGCGAGTTTATGGGAGTGTCACTTGTTCCCTAGCTTCTTCTAGGCACTCCAGGTGACACCATTCCTGTGGTCTCTTCTTGATTCCACAAAACGTGGTGTGGAAATTGGAATTTTGGAAGTACTAGTGCTGATAATCACATCCTCCCACTCTGTATTCTGTCCCTCTTTTCTGTGGAGTTACCCTTCCAAGCACCAACTTCTACAATTATTTGGATGGCTGACACTTGTGTTGGACAAGTGGATTTTCCTGGTGATTCTTCAGCTACCTAAATCAATGTTCTGTACCACTCCTGGGTGGGACGGGTGTCCCAGCTGGGGAGAGGGTGAGGTGAGGGCTTTGGTTCTGCCCTGAGGCACCCCAGGTACAGCCAGGAGGGGGGTGTCCTACCTGGGGCAGAGAATTCAGGAGCATGGGTTGAATAATAGAATCATAGAAAGGTTTGGGTTGGAAGGGACCTTAAAGATCATCTAGATCCAACTCCCCTGCACAGGCAGGGACATCTCCCACCAGCCCAGGTTGCTCCAAGCCCCATCCAGCCTGGCCTTGAACACTTCCAGGGATAGGGCAACCATGACATCCCTGGGCAACCTGTTCCAGTGTCTCACCACCCTCATAGTAAAGAATTTGCTCCTAATACCTAACCTAAATATCCCCTCTTCAAGTTTTAAACCATTGTCCCTTGTCCTCTCACTACATACCCATGTAAAAAGCCCTACCCCAGCTTTCTTGTAGGCCCTTTCAGGTCTTGGAAAGCTGCTGTAAGGTCACCAAGGAGCCTCCTGTTCTCTAGGCTGAAGAACCCAAAATTCCTCAGCCTGTTTCCATAGGGGAGCTGCTCTAGCCCTCTCATCAGTTTTGTCGCCCTCCTCTGGTCTTTCTCAAAGAGCTTCATGTCCTTCTTATGTTGGGGTCTCCAGAACCCAACATGTGTCCAACATGCAGCCCAGGATACAGACTGGTGCCAGCTTTTTGCAACCCAGTGGAACTGCAGTGGTGCTTACTGAGCACCAGGACGGGCAGACTCCACTGCTTCCAAATCCCGTGGGAGTGTCTGACCAGGGGGGTGAGTGCGCATGTGTTTTCTGTGCAGCCCAATGTAGTGTGACCCAGCTCCAGGAGGAGGGAGTGTGCCCTGATGAAAAGCTCTGGTGCCTAGAAGAGGGGATCAAATTGGTCTCCTCACACACAGGCTGAAATTAAATTCAAAGCATTATCTATACATTAAGGTATTCCTGACCACTGTACCACGTTGTTCTTGATTCCAGAGTGGTGGGGTTTGACATGTTTTTGCAGAATGTGATCTGTGTGCATTAATAAAATGCCATAAATGAGCTATTCCTTTGTGAGGACAGGGAAAGGATCCACTCTGTGGATCTGGAGAGGTTGCTGTGGGCCAGCAGCAGGGAGCTTGCACGGGAAGGGCTGAAGTGCCTGTGGGATGTGTGGACACGGAAGACTTTCCAAACCAGAGGTGACCATAAGGCTTTAGGTGCTCCTGATAACAGGTGTCAGCAAAGTAGGAGCTTCAGCAAAATAAATAACCTAAATTCCATGTACTCATTTTATGAGGGCATAAAATCACTGCTTTTAGATTCAACTTTTACAGCCTTATCAAGAGACAGACACAAAATCAGAGACTGAAAAAGGTCTAAAAAGTGTTGCTGGTTTTAGCCTTGCCAGGGTGAGTTAGTCCCTGGTAGTTCTTGCTGAGGAGCTGTGTAACAAAGATCACAACATCCTTCCCTCCCTGCAGATGTGTTTGCTCTTGCTCTGGCAATTAAAGAGATGAGTGCAGCAACGCGTAAAGCACGTACCACCCTCTGGTGTGCCCTCCAGATGACCTTGCCAAAATCTTCTGCTGGAAAACTCGATCGAGAGAAAACTCCCCGGGAGCTGGTGCAGCCTCAGGAAAAAGTGTGTGAGAACTACAGCATCTGCAGCGTCCTCAGTCAGAGGGCTGAAGTAAACAAGCACTAAGGAAGTACAACTTGTGTGCAAAAATACACTTGCATCAGTATGTCTGAGGTGATATACTAATTCTTTTTAATTATTTGTAAAGTTTGAAATACTAATATTGATATTTAAAGCTGTATCTTGAGGAGAAGTTGGATTTGCTTTAGGGGGTCTTGGGTTCTACTTAAACTGTTAACGTGACAGGCAGCATCAGAATGTTGTGAAGCCAAACTGATGAATGTTAACTTAAAAAAATAATCAGACTAACTAATTAACAGCCAAGATATTATTTAACTTCTGCAGGTGAACCCTGGTGTACAACTCTTCCAGTAACTTCTTTTAGTTTTGCTTTAGGAAATAGGTTTTTAAATAATGATTCTTAAAGACTGTAAAAACCGTTAAAGACGGGGTGTCCGGTCAGTGTCAGATAAGATTGTGATGGAAAACTGTTTTCCTTATCAAACTAATACCTCAAAACAGGAGGAAAAAATGCTAAGAATACCCAATATTCATGTAAGATTAAATATTTAAAATATAAATATTTATGAATTTGAGATTTTAGAATCTAAATTTGTGAAAGGTGTTGCACTGGGTTCTACTAAATTACTGGTATGACAAAATTGCTGTTGTGAAACCATGCAATTCAGTAAATGTCTTCAGATCATTTGGGCATGCTCTTGGGAACAAAAGAACCTCTGTATTAACGTATTTAAACACAATCAAATATGCCGTGCACACAGGATTATCCTTGAAAAAGCTGTGCAGCAGCTGAAATAATGAGTCTTGTTTTTAATACCTTCACTTTAAAATTGGAAGAGGTATCACAAAGTTCTGGAACTTAGGTTTTCTTAAAGTTACTCTGTCACTGGTTTGGTTTGAAATTTGGTTGTTATATTTTAGACTTCTTAGTTTACCTCTGCATTTTTGACAGCTCTTAATTAATACTTGGTGTTTCTCTGCTTATCTTAACCTGTACGAAATATAAGTAACTTATTCACTGACAGGAAGTGTCAGCACGATGTGGCACGGGAGAGATGGGGTTTTAACACTTGGACATTGCATTTATAATGTGTGGATTAAATTGATTCAGCTGTCCTTGCCTAGATACCTGGGTATTTTAAATATCTCTGTTCTTCCTACTTCTGGAAATCCTGAGATGCACAAGGTGCAGTCGCACCACACGGATTGTGATGAGATGATGTGGGAGAGGAACCGCACGCGGCAGAACACGGGGTGCCCCTTGGGTCACTGGACTGACCAGGAGCACTGCCAGGGTGAGCTTATCAGGGGGGCACAGCAAAGCACATCACACCACGTGTCACTGCATCAGGATCTGTTACGTTTAGCCCAGGACATGTTGATGTTACAAGCAGAACTGTACTGGCTTTAGTCTGTCTGGTAAGAAATAAACTGGCCTTTGTTGAAGATTGTTTGTTCTGCCCTTGTCTTCAGAGCCTCTGTTCCCAGAACTTGATCCGTTAACGGGGAATGTAGTTTTCTGAAGCATGTTAGGAGGTTCTCAGAAGAAGAATCTGCAATCACTTGGGCAGATCTGATCTAGTAGTTAGTTTATTGAGTTGTAATCGTAAATTTAAGATGTGAAATACTGCTGCAGTTCAAGTCAGAATGGGATGCAGGGATTATTACCCAAGTTTACTGCACAGATCAAGTGCTCATGTGTGCAGATTTCTTTTACCAAGCCAGCCATGCCTGGGGTCAGGCAGGGGGGTGGGTCTCAGTCCTGCTCCAGGGGAGGCCCCCACTGCACAGCCAGCTGCTGTGGGGGGAGAGCACGAGGGGCCTAAGGGCTACAGATCTTTATAGCATCGAGTGGTTGATCCATAGTCAGATTTTCTGCTGTGTTCACCCAGTTTGGCTCATTTAACAGACCAGGCTCCAGCTAGCCAAGGTGTGTTGGAAGACTGAAGGAAGGGCAGCATCACTCCAGTTTTCAAAAAGGGGCAACCAGGAGGACCCAGGGCACTACAGGGCAGTTAGTCTCACCCAAGTCCCTGGGAAGGTGATGGAGCAACTCCTCCTGCATGTCATCTCTGAAGACATTGAAGAACAGGAAGTTATTGGGAGTGGTCAACATGGATTTACCAGGGATAAATCATGCTTGACCAATCTGCTAGCCTTCTGTGGTGATGTAACTGGTTGGCTGGATGAGCGAAGAGCAGATGTCATCTACCTTGACTTCAGCAAGGCTTTTGAAACAACTCAGGAAGTGTGGGCATGATGAGTGGACAGTGAGGTGGATGGAGAGCTGGTGTGTGACAGAGCTTAGAGGGTTGTGATCAATAGAGCAGGATTGAGTTGCAGGCCTGTAACCAGTGGTGTCCCCCAGGGGTCAATACTCAGTCCAGTTTTGTTCAACATACTCGTCAGTGACCTGGATGAGGGGACAGAGTGTGACCTCAGCAATTTCACTGGTGATACCAAACTGGGAGGGGTGGTGACACCCCAGAGGGATGTGCTGTCATCCCGCAGTCCCAGCCTGGCTCCACAGCAGAGCTGCTCTCACCCCAAGGCTACAACAGCCAAGCACAAAATCCAGCAGAGATGGCAGAAAGGACACATGGTGACACCATCACACCAAACAGCACCGAGTCCACGAGCTGTGATTTCTGCAGCTGCCTGAGAGGAGGTTGGAGCCAGGGGGGGTCGGGCTCTGCTCCCCAGGAACAAGGGGCAGGAGCAGAGGAACCGGCCTCAAGTTGTGCCAGGGGAGGCTGAGGTTGGACCTTGGGAACAGTTTCTCCCTGGCAAGGGTTGTCAGGGCCTGGCCCAGGCTGCCCAGGGTAAGGGGGAGTCCCCCTGTGGCCTGTGGGCAGAAACAACCACATGATATAGTTACAATAACTAACAGCTGATTGTAGTGACCAAGTTCCTTTGGGTTTTGTGCTCCAAAACATTATTTTTCCCCCCACACCCACCCCGAACATGCAGGGAACTCCCCGAGGGGGCTGGGGCCCCCGGGAGAGGCAGACACGGACTGAGAGAGTCCAGGGGAGGGCAACAAAGCTGATTGGGGGATTGGAGCATCTCCCTGATGAGGAAAGGCTGAGAGAGCTGGGACTGTTCAGCCTGGAGAAGAGAAGGTTGAGGGGAGACCTTATCAATGTGGGTGGGTGGGTGCAGGGAGGATGGAGCCAGACCCTGCTCAGCAGTGCCCAGGGACAGGAGGAGGGGCAACGGGCACAAGCCGGAACATGGGAAGTGCCATTGAAATATGAGGAAAAACTCGTGCCAGAGCCCTGGGACAGGCTGCCAGGGAGGTTGTGGAGTCCCCTCCTCTGGAGACGTTCAAGACCCGCCTGGATGCAGCCCTGGGTAAAGTGTTCCAGGTGATCCTGCTTTAGCAGAGGGGTTGGACTTGATGATCTCTAGAGGTCCCTTCCAACTGACAATTCTGTGATTCCCTGAATTCTCACCAACAGCCTCACACAGGGTCACTTCCAGTCAGGCCTCCCCTGCTGGCCCAAAGCACAGTCAGCTCCAGCAGAAAGGGCACGAGTCACAGAGGTACAAAGCGCTGCTGGTACTGACGTTCCTCTTGTAGAGACATTACAGGAACATCAGACAAGCAGGGGAAAGTGGTGTCACTGCAGTGAAGCCACAGTTGGTGGGTTTTTTTCCCTGTATCATGTTAGTTACAAGCCCAGTGCTGCCAGAGAAAGGCTGCACCATCACTGCAGTATCTGCTCTGGAAATCTTGAGAGTCTGGCTGGAGTATTTTTTCCTACTCCATAAATGTGAGGGCTGATGCCAGTGAGGCTCTTCCTGAGCATCCTGATTATCAGCCCAGCATCAGTGTTCAGTGCTCCAGAGGTGTCTGCCTGGGCACAGAGTCAGCATCACAACTTACTGACAGGGTCTGGCAGCTCAGAGAGGCAGGCAGAGCTGCAGCCTCCACTGGGCTGAGAGGGACTCGTGACCACAGGGCTGCTGGGCCTATCCAGGTGCAGCTGGATCTGTGTCTGTGTTTAGACAACGTGCAGCAAAAGAAACGTGGCCAGAAGGGCCAGGGAGGGGCTTGCCCCCCTCTGCTTTGGTGAGACCCCCCTGCAGAGCTGGGTCCAGTTCTGGGATCCGCAGCACGAGGAGAACATGGAGCTGTTGGAGCAAGTCCAGAGGAGGCCATGGAGATGCTGGGAGGGCTGGAGCAGCTCTGCTCTGGAGCCAGGCTGGGAGAGTTGAGGGGTTCAGCTTGGAGAGGAGAAGGCTCCAGGGAGACCTTAGAGCACCTTCCAGTGCCTGAAGGGGCTCCAGGAAAGCTGGGGAGGGACTTGGGACAAGGGCAGGGAGGGATGGGATATGGGGCAATGGATTAAAACTGAAGAGAAGAGCTTGAAATATTAGAAAAAAATTCTTCCCTGTGAGGGTGGTGAGAGCCTGGGCCAGGTTGCCCAGGGAAGCTGTGGCTGCCCCATCCCTGGCAGTGTTGAAGGGCAGGTTGGATGGGGCTTGGAGCAGCCTGGGCTGGTGGGAGGTGTCCCTGTCCATGCAGGGGGTGGGATTGGATGACCTGTAAACCATCCTACCCAAACCATCCTGTGATCCTCTGATCCAGCACCGTGCTGAGCTCCAGCCCCATCAGCCAGTGCCACTGGCTGGGTCAGGCTCTCCCACATGCAGCAGGAACCCCTGGGGCTGGACCTGCCCATGCTCTGCTCCCGTCCCTAGAAGGGCCCTGATAAACCACAGGGGTGACTCCTGGGCTGGGCAGACAAGGCCCCCATGTGCTTGTGTGGGCACAGGGCAGGAACTGCATTTGAGACCTGCCTGTCAGGGAGCTCTGGGGGTGCCTGTGGGACTGCACCCTGCTCAGAGCACCCCCCAGCACAGGGGTCTGGGCACAGATGCAGCCTTTGGCTCCTGAGCTCGGCAGGGGGTTGGTTCCTGAGCTGAGCGAGGCTGCTTCCTCCAGTCCTTTCCTGTGCTGACCAGGCTGGTTCCACTCGGGAGCAGAGGTCTGGGCAAGTTCAGCACCAGGTCACAGCATAGGAATGTGGAGAAAAAAAATCCAAGACTCTAGAGCAATGATGAAGTGGAAGAAGCTGGAGAACTGGCAGGTTCCTCCAACCCACATGTGGCCAGGGCAGCCTCAGGCCAGGGTGCTGAGCCAGGGCTTGGCGCCCTCACTCAGCTGAGCCCAGGGGATGCAAAGGGCTGCAGAACATAGAAGGTGCTGGGCCTTGAGCAGCCCTGTGGGGTGGTGCCCTGACACACTCCTCCCTTAGCAGCTGCCCCTGCCTCCCTGTCCCACTGCAGCCAAGAACCCCACAGCACCCCAGAGCAGGGCAGAAACCAGCCCTGGGAACAAGCAGAGTCCTTTCACTGCCCTGCCAGGCCCTGAGGAGGTGAAGGAAGGCACTGCAGCCTCGGGAAACGAGGTGTGAACAAACAGGGACCAGCCCCACAGCAGCAACGGGTCAGCCCTTGGAAATGCTGCTGTGGGGCAGGGGGGGAAGCAAGGACACGGGACAGCTCAGAGAGGAACCCCCGACACACTCCCAGGCACCTCGACGTTCACTAAAACAGAGAAACCCACTTCTTGGCCAACAGTTTTATTGTCCCAGTCCCAGGAGGAAGCAGTCAAGACTCACACTTGCACAGCAGGTTACACAGGAGGCAGGGCCCAGCAGCCAGGCTGGGGGCAGCGCTGGGACAGCAGCTCGGGCCCTGCTGGGCGCTCCCCTCCCAGGCAGAGCAGGAGGCAGAGCAGGGCGAGGCACAGCGGGTTCCTCCCTCACCCCCAGAATGTTGCAGTCCCTCCTCCGTGTGCAGTTTACAGAAATTAGTGTTCTGTCCAGAGGTGCAAAACAGAAATGGCTGGAAACGGGTTAAGAAGCCCTTTGGGGGCAGAAGCGACAGCCCCGAAGCTCAGCACCTGCGACTCCAGCTCCCAGCCCAGCACTGAGCCTTGTTCCAGCCTTCATCCTGGCCCCTGCCACAGGAGCAAAGCTGACCTTCATCCACACGGAACAGCAGGAGGTTTCCAAACACTGGCATGAAGTCCTGGAGCAGGTGAGCGCTGGAGCGGATGCGGTGCGGCCCAGACCTGCCCCCCCAGCCAGCGCCCCGGGGCGCTGCAGCCTCAGAGCTGCAGCTCATCTATATTTCATCCAGATTCCTCTTGCTGCAGAGCAGGAGTTACCCTGGCTGAGGTCAGCTCCAAACCCTGCTCTCTCAGCTCAGCCAGACTGAAGATGCAGCATTGTTCTTGGCAACATAAATACATGGATTTGCAAATGCATTTTTTTCCAAGGCTACTGTAAATAAAGTCACTCTCACCCTGCAGCAGCATGTCCTTAATTACACATCAGAACAGGGCTCTGCTCTCAAATTGTAACACTGCAAACGGAGGCCGTGGCTCAGAAGGTCTCTCCCACTTTTTGTCTTGCTTGGCTTGAAGTGGAGAGAACTAAAAATCAACGGATTTCGAAGCAGGGACATCACCACATCACTGCTCTTTGGTACAGACATTGGCCACAACAAACGACTGGGACATTGACACCACAAGCACATGGCACTTCAGAGCTGCTGAAAACCTCTTTTTTGCTATGTAAAGGAAAGGGAAAAAAAAGGAAATGCTTCCAAAGAGCCACTCACCAGCCACATGCCCAGAATTTCTGCTGCTTTTTAAACACACACCGTATTCCTACTGAATTGCATCCCTTGGCAGTCCAGCTGCAGCACCCCAGCTATCGCTTCCGCTCGCCCTTCTGTGTCCTTTTCTTCTCCTTCTCCTTCCTCTCCTGCTTGGCAAGCTTGTCCTTCTCTCGCTGGAGTTTATCTTGCTCTTTTTTCTTCTGGAACTCATCTCGCAGCAGCTCCCTCTCCAGCTTCCTGGCATTCAGGACATCCTCCACGTTCGTGTTCCGGAACAGAGCTGGGGCTGTTAAGGGCAGACACGGCTCTGGCTGCACCGCCCTGGAGCTCCTCACCCCGGTGTTAGCAGTGGGTGGTTTATTCTACCTTTGTTTGTTGACAGGCTGGGAGAGTTGGGGTGTTCAGCCTGAAGGGAAAGCTCCAGGGAGACCTTAGAGCAGCTTCCAGTGCCTGAAGGGGCTCCAGGAAAGCTGGGGAGGGACCTGGGACAAGGCAGGGAGGGATGGGATGAGGGGGATGGATGAAAACTGGAAGAGGGAGATTGAGGTGAGACATGAGGAGGAAATTCTTTGCTGTGAGGGTGGTGAGAGCCTGGCCCAGGTTGCCCAGGGAAGCTGTGGCTGCCCCATCCCTGGCAGTGTTGAAGGGCAGGTTGGATGGGGCTTGGAGCAGCCTGGGCTGGTGGGAGGTGTCCCTGCCCATGCAGGGGTGGGACTGGATGATCCTTAAGGTCCCTTCCAACCCAAACCAGTCTGGGATTCCATGATTCTATGAATTTAGGTTTCACTTTTTAATTATATGATAAAAAACCTGCTTCCATCTTAAACCTGCCAGCAGGTGAGCTAAAGGTAGAGGACTTGGTCCTTGTTCAATATTTACAACTCAGCTGCACTGTGACCTCCTGAGTTTCAGGTAGCTTTGCTTCTGTTGTACTTTTAATAACTCTTGGCATGATTTACTAACAACATGTTCTGTGAAGCTTCTGAGAGGGTGGAAGAGGGAAGGAAGGAACTGAGGAGAGAGAAGAGGACAGGATCAGTCTCAGATGTGCACATGGGGCTGGAAGCAGAGGGACCCTGAACTTTCATTACAAGCAAGGTCAGGCTACAGGAAACCACCAAACTGAAAAGGTGGCCCTAAAGAAACAGGGAGTATCAACCTGGAGAAGGAAGGATGGGAGACTCACAGAGGAAACTGCCTTCCCTCCAACGAGCCTGGGTCACCAAGAAGTCAAAGGATACATTTTTCTGATCCAATATTTACTGCTGTGGCAGCTGATCCATCCTGCTCATCTTCCCCAGTGAGAGAATTAAGGAAATAAGAACATCAGTGATTAATTTGTGCCCCTCTACAGTCCCACTGAACTTAAAACACATCAAATAACAATTTATCAAGCCAGAAGGAAGCTAAAAATTAAGGCAGTCAAGGAGCAGGCAAACCCAAAACCCAACATTCAGCTCTCTCCTGCTGCTCCAGTGCTCAGTATGATTCCCTCCTCTTCAACTTTGCTCTTCAGGGAAGAGCTGGTTCTCCAGCACTGTAAAGAGGTAACTTTATAACTTCAAACTCTCCCACTCTACACATACTCTCTAAAGAGCATCTCTTTGATGGGCTTCTCTCCAGGAAGCAAGAGGTTACTCCAATACATCGACTGCCCCTCACAGAAGAATCAGTAGGTCACTCATGTCTCTCCTGGACTGGGCAACCCCCACCTGGCCAAGCACGGGCTGGTGGGGAGTGTGGGAATGGGGAAGAAACTTCCTCAGAGGAGTGTCTGCTCCTGGCACTCCACAAACGAGCAGCTTCCATGCTTCTTCCATGGAAGTTATTCTATCGTGGAGAAGGAAGATTGAAAACTATCCCCAGTTCTCCCTGCTAGACCCCACAGGGCTGGGCAGGTGTTGTTTTAGGGGGTTGTTAACCAAAATTGTCCTTCAAAGCAGCAAATCCCAGCTGGGCCAGGAAAAGGATATTCCTCCTCGTCTGTCACGTTGGCATACTGGGCCAGCAGGGCAGCTTTCCTCTGCTTTTCCTCCTGGGAGATTTCCTTTGGCTTCACCACAATCCTGGCCTGCTTCTCCATCATGCTGGCAATGGCCTGGAGCTCATCTGGCAAGGAGAAGACTTGGGGCATCAGTGGGTCCCTGCAGCCCTGGCCCAGCTGGGGGATGTCCCAGGCTGCTGCTTCCCACACCTCCAGCCCGAGGAACCTCCTGTGTCCCAGGCTGTGTCCCTTCTGCAGGGAGGCAGTTGTGACTGGGGACGAGTGTGCAGAGCTGAAAGGAGAAGCCTCACCCAGAAACACCCCCCACCCTCCCCACAGCCACCATCAGACCCTGTATCTCCTGCAGCAAGGGAAGCCTCACAGTAAAACTTGGAAATCACTAAGCCTCTTGCTATTGAAAATCCATCTTACTCCAAATTGCATTTTCCTCTGGGTAGGAGCAGCTGAATATGTTTATTTAACTACCAACTTAAAACCACCTCAAACAGAAATGCTGAGAACCCAAAGTGACCAGTTGAATTCTCTCTGATCCTCACCAAGGGAAAGGAGCAGCTGAACTGCCTCTTAGCACTGAAGTTCTGCCCAGTTCTTCAAGTGACATTTGGGGTTTGACACCATTTTATTATCTTTAATAACTCATTCTTGGGATCCTGTTATTCTAAGCAGAGATCCTGACTTCACTGGGGATTTATCCACAGGGAAATAATGAAATCCTTGCATTTCTAACAGCCCAGACACATCCTGCCCTTCTTTTAGTGACAAGGAAAATCTCTGTGGGTAACAAGGCTCAGCAGGAGTCACCAGCAGCAGCTCCAGCCACTTGTCCCTAAAGGAGGGGTTCGTTTTATTTATTGCACATGACAGTGTCACTTGTCCCTGTCCCCAGCCAGAGGCAAGGTCAGGCCAAGGATGGGCTCTGTGGAGGTTTGGGGAGCACCACTGAGCTGCTGGGTGGGTCATCGGGGAGGAGGAGGGGACTGATGTTTGGGCACTGCTGAGGTTTAGCCAAGAAAAGTGCTTAATAAATCACAGGCCTCAGGACAAGGGGGCCCTGGAGGAGCTATTTCTAGTGACACCAGCCAGGGACAACTTTCTGTTTGCAACAAGGAAATGCAAAGCAAACAAAAGGGAGGACTTAGCCAAGAGGAACCTTGTGTTGCCCCAGGGGGGCTGGGTGGGTGCAGTGGGAGGGTGCAGGGTGCCCAGACCAGCACAGAACTGGGGAGGCCTCAGCTCCAGTCCTGGGTGCAGCTCTGGCCCCTCACTTCAAAAAGGATCTTGAGGTGCTGGGGCAGGTCCAGGGGAGACAACAAGGCTGTTGAAGGGACCAGAAGGAAAGTCTTATAGGGAGAGGCTGAGGGAGCTGGGGTTGTTTAGCCTGGAGAAGAGGAGACTCAGGGGGGGCCTTCTCACTCTCTACAACTACCTACAGGGAGGGTGTGGTCAGGTGGGGTCTGGGCTCTTCTCCCAGGCAACCAGTGACAAGATGAGAGGGCCTGGCCTGGAGCTGCTCCAGGGGAGGTTTAGGTTGGCTATTAGGAAGCACTTCCTCATGGACAGAGTGAGGAGACATTGGGATGGACTGCCCAGGGAAGTGGTGGAGGCACCATCCCTGGAGGTGTTCAAGGAAAGGCTGGATGTGGCACTTAGTGCCATGGTCTGGAGATGTGGTGGTGTCAGGTCATGGGCTGGACTTGATGATCTTAAAGGTCTTTTCCAGCCTTGATGACTGTGATCCTTCCAGCCTGAGCCTTCACTGCTCCAGGGTCTGCTCAGTGCCCAGAACAAGCCTCCCTGGGCACAGGAGGTCAGGGAGGTCACTGCTCCTGAGCCAACAGCTGAAGAGGGGGGATGAATTCCAGGGGTACAAAGGAAGGTGGCTGGGAAGGAGCAGCATGAGCACAGCAGCAGCCTCACCCAGCCCCCTTCACGTGCATTTAGTTTTAAGAGGTTTTGAAAGAGGAAAATAAGGCTGCTTCCTGAGGTGTGGTGGGACCTTCTCCTGGGGAGCAGCAGCAGGAGGGACAGGGCAGCTCCATGGGGGCAGCTGGAGCAGTATAAACATATTGGCTTCCAAACCAGGGCAAACTGGAGCAGGGCACAAGTACCAGAGCTGCACCAGTGCCAAAGCTGCACCATCAGCACTGACCTGAGCCAGCCCTGGTGCTTTGTGAGAGATTTTTAAAATCCTATAGAAGGAAAAAACAATGAGCTTCTCCTCTGCAGGATCATGAACCCAAGGGGCAGCAGGTTGGGAGAGCCAGAGGGAACTCATCCCAGCTCATATGTTGAGACCAAACAGTAAATCAGCAGCAATGGCAACAAGAAGCAAGATCTGCACAGCAGTGCTGGGTTTAACTCCCCAGGGAACAAGCAGGGGGGCTCAGCTGGGTGAGGGGCTCAGCTGGGGGGTTGCTCAGCTGGGTGGGGGGCTCAGCTGGGTGGGGCCTGCAGGTGGCTCCCAGGGGAGGGAAGCCCACCCAGCAGCCACATTACCTGCTTTGTTCTCTTTGGCATCAACAATCTGAGCCTCAGACCACTTCTCCACGACTTCCCTGCAGACATCAGTCAGGAGATCTTCTTCCTAGGGAGGGAAAAGAGACTTCTCAGTCTTGGAACATGGTTGGGCTGCTTCAGCCTAGAGAGCAGGAGGCTCCTTGGTGACCTTATAGCAATTTTCCAATATCTGAAGGGACTTACAAGAAAGCTGGGGTGGGGCTTTATGACCAGGTGTGTAGTGAGAGGACAAGGAGCAATGGTTTGAAGCTTAAAGAGGGGAGATTCAGGTTGGACATTAGGAAAAAGCTCTTCCCTGTGTGAGACCCTGGCCCAGGTTGCCCAGGGAAGCTGTGGCTGCCCCATCCCTGGCAGTGTTGAAGGGCAGGTTGGATGGGGCTTGGAGCAGCCTGGGCTGCTGGGAGGTGTCCCCTTCAGGCACTGGAAGGTGCTCTAAGGTCTCCCTGGAGCCTTCTCTTCTCC